CCCAGAGATTTCTCCGGGTATCGGTGCCCCGATATCCGTAAACCCACTCAAGTTGCAACTTCTTATCCGGTGGAGAATTATCCACTGGTGGTAGATGGGAAGGTGGATAAAAGGATCTTCTCAATCCTCGGATAGTTACTCTAGCTGGCTCATCCCGTAACACCTCGACCACGCTGTAATCTGTCCGAGAAATATAGCGCAATTATTATTTACCACTAGATAATTGGTATATGTAACGAATGAACGAAGAACAACATGGAGAACCGTTTACTCGGACGACGTCTGCATCAGGAGCGTACAAAGCGCGTGGTCTGCTTTTGCTACGGGCTCGTCTTTGACGACCAATGTCCTCGACCACGGTAGGTGGTCCCCGCGACCTGGATCTCCTTGCTGGAGATGCGGTAACTGCGCCTGCTATACCCATCCCTGATCCAGTACCCAAGTAAAAAGTATCCACGTCAGCAAATTCGTTCCTTAGCTGCGAGAAACTTCTTACCTGCCAGTAACATAATTGGTTCTTCTAAAGATAGATCTTTAACATCAACCAAAGTAAAAGATTGTTCTATGCCTTGTATGTTTTAGAATATTTTATATATCTTGTTAAAAAGAAGTTATTCCGACATTTTTTATCACAAAATTGATAAAAAGAAACAAAATATGTTTGTAAACCCATAACAAATGCGCTAATGGAAGGTATGACTGCTAAAATGAATGAACCAAAGGACATTTTATTTTCGTGCCAGGATCGTATCACGGACGTCACTGTTGACGTACAAGGCACAGGGCGTATACGCGATGATGCATAAGGCAGCCGAATGCTCGCTAAGGAAAATTGGTCAATTTGAAATTCATATACGGTCGTGACCTGAAAAGATGGATCTCTGACCTTTTTTCTCGCGAGCCTCCGACCCACTTGCAACGCTCGCCAAAATGTATAATCGCGTAATCTACTGTGACATTGGAAATTTGAATGAGAGGGGTGCTGATGGAAATAGTCAAAATGACACGCAAAATGGCTAGCAATAGTAATATGTTGTATATACTGTCTTCTTGCATTAATAAGATATGAAGTTAAGTATTTTTTTTTCTTTCTTGTGTAGTACCTACTACTGTTTGTATTTCTAAATAACACATTTTGTTTCAGGATTTTTATCCCCAGATTGCCGATAGCATTTCTCTGTATAATAAAGAGATTCCTTAGAGACGATTCGAAGGGAAATTAATCAACGACCCTATTCCATTTACAGCGAAGAAGTCGACCCCAATATCGTCACGCTTCGTTTCGACGCTTCTACCCCCACTATCGCATGCATATTTATGGACAAACATTATTCAAGCAGATTTTATAAGTACGATGCCGAGCCAATGTCTTCGATTTGCATAAATTGCTGATAAACTTTCGAGTCGCCCACGTTTCGGCCGTTCACGAACGTGCACCAATCGATCACGATGTACGTCATCATTCCCGACAATTTTGGTTACAAATTTGTATGGTGTTTCACATTTCTTATGCTACTTGTTTCTCATGCAGTTGGTTACCTCTTGACCTGAAACTGTGAACATCCTCTTGGCCCCATTCATCTTCAATACCTGTCCAAGGTCTTCCAGCACCTCCTCAAACGGTTGTGAAGTGCGAAGGTTTAACAAGACCCGACACTGGAATCCATCAATTTTAATTCATTCAGTAACAATTATAAAATTAAGATGTTTATATTTATATTTTATTAACGTACGGTTTTAGATGTATTTTTCAATTACCTGCACGGTGTGGTCGTGATTGTTAACGATTCGTATGACACGTCCCGAAGGAGGTTTTCCACCGCCAGGAGGTGGTGCCTCGTCTGTGATGGAAG